AACGCGCTGATTCTCAAAAAAGTTGCATTGAAGGAATTTTATCGTGGGTGCCCAACATCCAGCAGCATCTTTGAGGGACCCTTGGATGCAACCTTTTGACCCTTGAACACGCTGATTCTTAAGAGAGGTGCATTGAAGGGTCTTTTGGATGCGTTGAAGGGTTTTATCGTGGGTGCCCAGCCAACATCCAGCAGCATCTTTGAGGGACCCTTGGATGCAACCTTGTGACCCTTGAACGCGCTGATTCTCAAAAAAGTTGCATTGAAGGGTCTTTTCTATGCATTGAAGGGTTGCTTCGTGGGTGCCCAACATCCCACCTAAAAGGACCCTGGATGATGTAATTTCACTGTCACTGCTGATAGGCAACCCAGTCGCTCCCCGTGTTGCCAGGCTGCTTTGGTGCCCACACCGGCGCCAGCCGACGCTCCGACTTTGTGGCCTGAGTTGCTGAGACTGGTTCCTAGTCGTAGGTTCCCAGGCTCCCAGGCTCCCAATATAATTTTAAGGTTACTGCCAGGCTCCATGGTTGTTCGCCTGGGTTCGCCTCTGCCACCGTCATCTGTCCACCCTTTCATGGTGGACAGATGACTGTGGCAGAGTCGCTGAGGGAGTCTGGGGACATGGAAACCTTGCCGGTGGCCGTTCCGTGGATGTTCACTGCCGGTGCATGCAACAGAGCAGCAACAGACTTCAGGCCCCAGGCGCCACACGCAGCATCAACTCGAACCAGGTGTTTCCACTGGAAACACCTGGTTCGAGTTGATGCTGCGGGGAATGCACGGCGCGGATGCGGAACATCAATTGCAGGTCCAGGCTCATCGGCTTGGAAAATTAAGCATGTGCCGTGGAGTCCTCATCGTCATCATCGATCATCAATGTCATCAGGTTCCCAGGCCCGTTCAAGGTTCATGGGCCGCAACATGATCATCGCCATCATCATCATCATCATCATCATCATCAGTCATCAGTCATATGCGAGGCTTCCAGGCCCAGAGGGCCCAGAGGATATGCGTGCCACGGGCTTGTAGAGTTGCCTTGCAAGTTGTCAGTCCAGCCGGATTGGTCTGAGAGTTTTAATGTCACAAGGTTGCTGGAGAAGGACAGTGTGGAAGCGGCAGAGTTCCCCGCCGTCCCAGGTTCACGGGATGCAGGAGAGAGTCACGAAGCCTTCGTGAGGCTCTCCTGCATGCCGTGCTCCTAACCAGTCCGGCTTCGCGACTGTTGCCGAATGGATCTGCGGCTGAAGATCTGCCGCAAGACTCCCTCCCTGGCTGGGCTGAGACCTGTGCCGTGACATGACAATCATCACGAGGCTCGGGAAAGGTTCGGTTCCTAGGTTCCCAGGCTCCCAGGTAGAATAGTTTATGTTGGGTTGCCAGACTCAGTCTGTTACCCTCAGTCAGGGAGTCTGAACCCAGCTGAGACGTGTGCCGTGGCATCGAGGCTAATAATAAATAATAAAGATATAATTTTAACGCATGCCCCGTGGAGTCCTCATCGTCATCATCTGTCATCAATGTCATCAGGTTCCCAGGCCCGTTCAAGGTTCATGGGCCGCAACATCATCATCACCATCATCAGTCATCAATGTCATCAGGTTCCCAGGCCCGTTCAAGGTTCATGGGCCGCAACATCATCATCATCATCACCATCATCATCATCAGTCATCAGTCGAGGTTTCCAGGCCCAGAGGGCCCAGAGGATATGCGTGCCACGGGCTTGTAGAGTTGACTTGCAAGTTGTAGTCCAGCCGGATTGGTCTGAGAGTTTTAGGTTTCACAAGGTTGCTGGGTTCTAACACTCTTTGCCTGTTTGCCTGTTCCCACACGGGCTGCAGGAGAGCGTGTCGAATCGACATGCTCTCCTGCATGCCTGTGTGGTATCGGCTTCCAGGTTCAGCTCGGCAACCGCAAATGAAATTATTAAGTTTCTCCTAACCAGTCCGGCTTCGCGACTGTTGCCGAATTCATCTGCGGCTGAAGATCTGCCGCAAGACTCCCTCCCTGGCTGGGCTGAGACATGTGCCGTGACATGACAATCATCACAAGGCTCGGGAAAGGTTCGGTTCCTAGGTTCCCAGGCTCCCAGGTAGAATAGTTCGTTGGGTTGCCAGGCTCAGTCTGTTACCCTCAGTCAGGGAGTCTGAACCCAGCTGAGACGTGTGCCGTGGCATGACAGTCATCATCGAGGCTAATTAAATTTTAAATAAAGATATAATTTTAACACATGCCCCGTGGAGTCCTCATCGTCATCATCTGTCATCAATGTCATCAGGTTCCCAGGCCCGTTCAAGGTTCATGGGCCGCAACATCATCATCACCATCATCAGTCATCAATGTCATCAGGTTCCCAGGCCCGTTCAAGGTTCATGGGCCGCAACATCATCATCATCACCATCCTCGCAGGGGTGAAGAAGCACCTGGAGACGATCAAGAACTGCTTGATCTACCCTCGCGTCGTGCTTCGATTCCATGCGCTGAGGAAGCTTTCGGCCGACATGTCGTCGGAAGTGGTGCCGTTTACCGTCGAGATTCACAACAGGTGCCAGGAGAGCCAATTGGCCTACCAGGCTCTGGAACGCCTGACCTACAACGTGGTGTGGCACCTCATAGGAGCCACAGCCCCCCGGCGAAGTTAGGCCACAGGCCACGGGAGAAGGCCATCGAGGAGATGGCTCGGAAGCTCTGAGTCTCCCGAGTGACGTGGCCAGCATTCAGCTCGGTAATCTCGCCAACCATTGCTATGCTAATGCCACCCTATGCTCGGTTCTGTGGCTCTGCCTCCAGGCTGGTTTTGAGCTCAACCCGCCCAGTCTGCAGCTCCGGCAAGCACTGCAAGAGGTGTTCACTTGCCAGGCAGGGTACACCACCTGTGGCAGCTTCAACCATGGGTTCTAGCGATGCGAGATTGGCCCAGTAGGCGGCAGCAAGACGCCGCAGAGTTTTTACTGCACATAGGGCCCATGTTGTTTAGCCGCGCTGCACTGGGATGCTGGGAAGCCCGACTAGACTCGCCTCTCCCTGCACTGCCTCGGAGGTTGTTGATGCGGGACTGCTGATCCCTCTTCCGCTTTCGGCAGCTCTCACGCCTGATGCGGGAACTGCCTCTGTGACTTTGCAGTCACTTGTTCTTCGATGGCACAGGCAGCACAGTGCTGATGACGTGCACACTTTTGCCTCTGCGGATGGTCCGCCTTCATTATTGGTGCTTCACGTTGCCCGGTTTAGTGACGATGGCCGTAAGCTTCGGGGTCGAATAGGTCCTCCTTTCACCTAGAATTCCCTTACTACCTAGACTCTGCCCACAGAGTAGCCACTGCCCCGTACGATGTCTGCAGCATTGTCTACCGCATAGGAAGCACCATAATGAGCGGCCATTATCGCTCAGCACTCCTTCGTGAAGCAGAGATAGTCCTGGTTACTGATGACCACAATCCTGCACTGCCTGCAACAGCGCGAGACCTAGCACAGATAGAGGCCAACTCCTACTCACGAGTAGGGTGAACAATTTTCGTAGCAGCCCTCGGCTGGCTGAAGTCTACGACGATTGTTGTGTTCATTTATTTTCTTAACTCATTCGTAGCATTAGGCATTGCCTGCCATCTGTGCTCCTTGCTTCTAATGGGGCAAAGCCGAGTCAGCCACCAGCCTAAAGCGAAGCTCGTGTACAGACCGATCTTTTTAAAGTCATGCTCGTCACTACACTCTGAGCATATGTATCTATCTTATTCACGCTCTTATATAGGTTTGCCACTTAGTGAATCTCCTGCTTATGGGCCCTACGGGGCGGGGAGAAGGCCATAGTGTGGTGGCTGGAGCTCGAGGCTCTAGTGCGCGTCTTTAGGACGCCAGCATCTCCGATGCTGCTCGATTTTCGCATCGCGGACTTTCTGCGGCGAGGGAAGAAAGATCATCATCATCATCAGCAGCATTCGCATTGATTTGAATGGGTTTAGCTTTGCCATCATCATTGGCTTTCAGGCGTTTGCTTTCCGGCGCAACCCAGGAGTGTCATCAGCGTTTCGTTTTAGGGTTTAGGGCTCTGCAATCTTATGTTTCCTTGCAAGGCCTATGGTTTACCGTCTGTCAACTCCTTTTGGTTTATCAGTGTTTGCCGTACATCATTCCCTTGAGGGTTGAGGGATGGGGATGCTGAGGGTTTGTAATCCATCACGTCGTGTTCCGGTTCAGGATGGTTTAGTTTAGAGTTGGTCTTGGTTTCCCTCCTGGAGGCGGGTTTCAGGTTTAGGATTTGCATGCACGCCTTGGGTTAAGGAAGGTTTATCACGCGTCGTTCCCGATCAAGATTTAAGGTTTGCGTTCCGTGATTTGATTCTCTTTGAGGGCTTGTGGTTAAACACTCACTGTTTTTTGAAGCTAGAACGCTGCCACAGCCCGCGCCCCACGTCGCGTGGTCCAGGTTTTGTGGTTCAGCCTGCGCCGTGGCCTGCCCGGGGTGTAGTGGACATACCGGAGGGTTGCTGCACGCGACGCGGGGGTGATCAGTTTCGTGAGCTGTAGATCTCGTAGATGCTCGTATTGCTTGGCACGGGTCCCTCGGTCTCGGCCGGCTCCACGCGGCTTGGTGTCGCGTGATTAGGTTCTGGGAAGTCATCGGCACAAGAACATGCAACGGTAAGGCAGATTGGCTCCACGACATTGCTCTCGAAACATTTGGAACAACATCTCCTGGATACGACACGGGCCCCAGACAATGAGCAAGGAGCAAGGGAAGCAACGGGCAACCTCTCGTTCTCGGGTCTGCAAGTAAGGAGTGGAGAGCAGGCGCCCATAGGAAGGCAGCAAGACTAAGAGAGTTTCAGTGACTCCTTCCGAGCCAAAGCCGCTAAGCCCTCAAGGGAGCGTCCAGTCACTGGCGAGCCAGAGCTGGAAAGAGCAGCGACGGTCCAGCGGGGGAACAGCCAGAGCCATTAGTCGGGAAACTTCGAAATGTGATGCAGTGCGGTGAAAGCAGTCCGGCTCCATTGCAGGAATCGAGTGATGGCGCTTGTTGACGCACCAGGGCCCGAGTTCTTCTTCAAGGCGAGCAGGTGATGCTGAACATGGAATTTGCAGCGCGCAACAATGCTCAGGGTCTAGCGACTTCCAGCTGTTCTGCGACGCAGCTCAATGCCAGCAGCACAGCAGATGCTTCAATCACGTTTTCTCAGATTGTCGGTCGGGTTTGAGTCACTGGACCTGACTTGCCAAAATTTGCTAAACGCGTCGGGAGTTTTGAGGTGAGTGCATGTCCTCCGTCGCCGGAGTGTCAGCCGAAGTGTCAGCCAAGGTGCAAGCCTTTGCGGAATATTCTCATATCAGTCCCTGAGTTGTTTCTGCAGTTCTGGGCGAGAAATCCAGGAACTGTGAGTTTGGATCCTGGAGCGAGTGGAACCAACCGAGTTGCGAGCCGTCCTCGGCACGTTTCGAGGACGACAGAACAGCTGGAAGTCCAGTGGATCCCGCTGCCGTGCGATTGAGGTTGGCTTATGTGAGCGGCACCGGACTGTGTTGGCGCGGCTCTTGTTTATTCATGGTTGTCCGAGAAGTCATGACTGCCCTCGCTGGGTTGAGCGCATACCCTTGCAAGGCGATGAACAACGAATGCGGCACTCCATGTATGGGAGCACTGCCGCTCGACTGCAGGATCGTCGTCTGATGTCATAGCATGAGCGTATGGGCCGGTTGCAGTCCTGCGCGGGTGTGTGCATCCGCCTGCTGACAACCCTCTTTCTTGCAATCGTTACTGAGCAAAACATAGCAAACCACTTGTTCGACTTCCATCTTTCTTTTTCCATCGTCTGTGGCTTCTCTTCTCTGGATTGGGCATATTCACTAGGTACTGTTGAAGTTATACCATTACCATGGGACATCTTCGGGTTATACCCCAACGCTGTTGCATCCATTGCCATAGTTGCTCCTGTGGGGATGTGGGTCCCGGCTTTCGCGTGCTTTCATCAAGAAACAGGTCTGTGGCATTGGTCCGGGATTGCCGACAGGGCCTAGGTCCTAGGTCTAGGTCCGATGTGTCTGTATAAAACTTCGGGGCCTCCGACACTTGGGCTGAAACCGGCTCTGAGACTGAGTTTTGACTGAGGCAAGAGACGAAGCATTGTGAAGCTGACTGCCAAATCACGCAAAACTGCAAGCTCTCCATGTGTCTCTGCGGCATCAAACCTGAAGTCGTGTTGGATCACGTCTCCATGTCACGTGACAGCCATCGACAGCCATGAGGTGGTCCAGCTGGTCGGGATGCGAAGAGGTTTGGCCAGTCTTGATCATTTCTGACAAGGCTCTCTGATTCTGAGAGTGTGCCCTGCAGGCAGGACAAGCGGGCAACGACGTGGCAGCATTGCAGAAGTTCCGTGAGCGACAGGCGGCGCTGGTTGATCTCCCGCTTGGTGTGAAGGAGGTTTATGAACCCAACGTGTAGGGCGTAGGGCTCCTTTCGCTATACAGGCCGAACGACTTGTACCACGAACGTGGAAGAGGGTCAAGATACACTTAGCAGTAGACCTTCCCTTGAGATGGCGCCAGAGTCAACGACTTTGCTCCTGGCAGTTCACTATGCATTTGTTGTAACTTGACTCCTTTCTGCCATCAGGTGCTGAGCAAGCCCAAGAACGGTGGTGTGCCGTGCGAAGGCAGTCTTCGCCACCTGGTAGCATTAGACTCTGAAACTTGCAATTGCACGCATCGATCTGGACGGTGTTCCTGAGGCGAGACGACTACTTGCAAAGAATCATCTGCCTGTTGCCTAGATTCGTGGTGATTCATGTTACCAATGAATCTCGGTGCAGCTTGAATCAAGCGTGGAGATTTCGTGATGGCTTTAGGAGGACACGGACTGCATCCTGTCAAAGTGGAGCAGCTGGGGGGTGTGCAGCCACTCGTGCTAGCTTCTCAGCAGATCTCCTGCGATATCCCGTGTGATGCATGACTGACGGAATGACTGAGGTGGTCGCGGATGGAAGATGCGGAGCCGGCAGGTGCTCGGAGCTGATCGGAGCAGACATCTCAAATCGTGAAGACGGAATCCCCTGGCAGGTCATGATCCCTGCCCAGGGCAACGGGCAGCAGTGCACCGGACCCTTGCAGGACTGGCAACTCCATTTGCCAAAAACCAGTACTGCATGAAGCGCTCGTGCTTCCGGTAGAATCCCACCACCGGAACCTCCATCTCCCCTTCAGCTCTTGTTATCTCTTGTGTTGCTGGCTCCCGGTTCGATAGATGTTATAATTCGAGGTGAGGTAATGTAGAATTGTCGCGTGAGATCAAACAGCTCTGGAGTCTTGACATGATCGAACGGGTGCATGGTCTCTTCATGTAAGCGAAGATCACGCAAATTTCAGGCTGTCAAGGAGAGTTGCAAGCACACTAATGAGAAGAGCAGTATAGACAATAGGTCGAAGATTGGTACGATTGAACAGCAGAATACTTCTGGCAAAGTGCCGGCTCAACAGATCAGAGCGGTGAAGCGCGCGTGATCTTGGCATGTTAGAATTTGACCTGGATCTTTTAGAAGCCGCAAGGACGCGTCACGTCACTGAATGATGTAACTGAGCTACCGGCTCGGACAGCCCTTATCAGTATGCTTCAGGCAACTAGCTAAAGCTGCACAAAGAGCAAAAATCTGCAGAAAGACCTCTCCCCAGTGGCGGGAACGAAGCGAGTGACTGTTGTAGTGGCTGCATCTTCGCTTGGGTTGCGTGGGGGTCGAGACTCATTGAGACCATTGATTCTCGTTGGTACCTCTTGCTGGCGAACCTTCGCGGGAGAGCTTCCATGCATGGCAGTACAACTTTCTGTCTGCAAAAGCTGTTGCCAACCGTGCCTGCCGCGCACTGCTGCAAGTTGATTGGACATGTCACACGCAGAATAGCGAAAGCAACACTTTCAGCGATCGCCAATGACGGTGTGTTGAATAGCTCTCCTTGGTTGCGCATTCGGTTTGTCCGATTATCGAGAGCAAGACAGGCGGCCTGTGACAAATATCCCCGAGCCTCAGGAGATCGGAGGTTGTGGCACTGATCCGCTTGATATGACGAAGCCTGACAAGGCGAGATTCAATGAAGTACTGCACCACGCAGTTTCTGCCCATCTCTGAAACTTGAAGTGTCGTCGCCTCGACCAGCGATGCCAGGCCTGTGGCTCGAGCAGCTCGGCAGACTCTCGGGGCTGGGTTGGCTTGCCTCTTCGGACTGTATATTCCTGTTAAGTCGTTGTCCGACCTGCAGGCATTCTTGTTCGGAAGCAGGAAGCAGATGCGCATACTCGTATGCTGTCGTTGCCCTGTTTTCGAGGTCATGACTGCGAGTTCGAATCCTGGACGGAGTGGTCAGCCTTCCACAGCCGCGAAAAAACGTCAGACCATGTCATTGAACATGCTGCAATGCCAGGTCGGGTCTCGATGGGGACAACCAAAGGTTTCGAACCAGAAAGGCCTTGGCCACGGTTCGCTGTTTTGGGGCTTGCGGATTGAAGAGATCATCAGGTTGCTGTTCCTGCTTCCGGTGGCGGAACTCCTTGCGACGGGCTTTGAACTCAGACTTGTCAACTTGCAATAGCCCTGCAGCAGCCACCCACATGCGGAGGCCACTGCATGAAACGGAAACTGGGCACGAGGAGAAGGTCCTGGACTAAGTCAGCTTCTAGATCCGTATCAGCTGTGTTTGCAAATGTGCTGCAGCTGTGCAGGCAAGCTTGCCTTTCCTTTTCAGGTTGACTGCCAAATGTCATCATGGACTTCCTGGTCCATATGTGCCATGTGCTTATCGTCAAGACGACGATGGCCCTACTAGGTGCTAGGGCGATTGTTTCTGCTGATGCTTCAGGACCGGACCTGCGGAGGTGGCCAATCGCAAAGACAGCGTCAGGAGCGGTTTAGCTGAGTTCAACTGACATGAGTTTCCGTTTCCTTCCATGGCAGGTCGAGAGATTTCCAAAGAACAATGGGGCGACCTGTCCACAAGAACTACTTCAAACCCGTGGTCGGAGCCGAAGATGAGAGAGGCTTTGGGCCACTCGGGAGCCGGCTGCGGCGTGTTGCAGGCTGCACATTGCAGGCCTGTGACTCCAAGGCCGAGCCCAGTGCCGACTTTCAGTTCCCTTAACGGCCATTTTTCCTGGTCCTGGAAGGATGCCGAGATCAGTGATTGGACGGATTGGAGCCAATGCTCCACGACGTGTGGTCCCGCAAACCAGGTGAGCGAAGCTGAAATGACAGGTTGCCCTGAAGAGACTTGCTCTCCGCAGGCCCGCAAGAGGCAGGTTCTGGCCCTTCGCGGTGAGGGGGGAGAGGGCATCACTGCCGACTTGGCCCAGACAAGACCTTGTGCCGCTTGAATTATGTCTGTTGCTCTGGTTCAATCGCAAGAAGCAAGAATATGGGACCTGAGGCTGATAACCTGCCTTGTGAGAAGTATGACTGTGAGTGGCACGACTGGTCGGTGTGCAGCCTCAGTTCAAGCGCGAGATGAGTCGGGTAGTCGTAGCTACGACGCTTCGAGAAAAAGAAGAGAGTCTGCTCTGTCAGCAGTTCGGTGTCGGTCTCGGAAAGAGACTGAGGCTTGGAGTGACTGCACCTGCACCTGTGGGGGTGGCCAGAGGTGCTGGCCCTGTGCACTTCCCGGTACTCGCACCTTCGATGTGCAGATCTAGAATGCAACGGCAGGACACGAGACCGATCTGTTCGCCGAATGCCCAGTCATGGTGGAGCACCTTGCCAAGCCAAGGAGACACGTGCCACTGTAGTGGCCACGATATTTAATGGGGACACTTCCCGAAAGCGACTTTCTCGGCCTGTCTCACTCCTACTGTAGCGTCCAGAGCATCTTCTTTCCTTTTGTGCTCCGTCGTGCCAGGACAAAGAGGAGATTGAGCCCTGCAACGTGCAGAAATGTCACGAAGACAACTGTATCGTGCACTGGATGCATCAATTCATCAGCCCACTGGACCTTCGACATCTCCGCTCTGAGCTTAGGACGGCGAGTTTGGTGCATGGTCCAATTGGGGAATGTGCTCTGCCTCGTGCGGTGGAGGAGTCTCTTTCAGGCCTGTTCGACACATGTGGCTTGGGTAGCTCTGCTCAGATGCAGATTTGATGGCAGGCACAGGGCCATCGTGCAGGATGCCAACGAGTGCGGAAAGGAACCTGCTGGGAAGGCGGTCCGAAGCTGTAAAGAGCACTTCATGCCCGCAATCTGCAACAGTTGAGACGGCAGGGTCCCCACCTGTATCTGCGATCTTCACCATCCGCACATGAAAAATCGGCTCCACTTCACTGCGCGAAAGTCAGCATCATCTTGCTTTAGCCACTTCTCGGTCCAGCTTGAATAATGACCGCAGTTGCAGCAGATGCAAGAGTACAGTCGGACTTTATCTCGTAAGATGATGGCTGTCAGTTGTGCAGCCTGTGCACCCAGTTGGATGTGTCACGGAGAGTTACAGTTCTTGTGTTCAGGGAAGGCCTCCCAGAAGAAGTCCGGAGCTACTCGTTTAGTTAACGGTACAAGATTTGAAGAACAATGAAGACAAATTGATCTTACCCAGGTTGGAGGGTATTGTGGGGTCATGGGGAGGGGCACTACCTCACAGCCACGCATGGTGTCATTTGCAGAGCCGCAGAGCCAAAGCAGCAAAAGCCGCCGTATAGCGTAGAGCGGCTTGTAGTGGCAAGCTGGGAGGGGAGTGATGGCCCCCCCCCCCACCTTGAATTTCTGGAAATTCAGTAGGGCCCGATCAAAGGCAGATCTGCTTGAGAGAGCGGTTGGCCAAACTTGCAGGCTCGCCAGACGAGGTTTTGCAACACGGACGTGGACTGTGAAGCGCCCGTAGACTGCCTCTTTGCATCGTCGGGGTCCTAGACGGTGGTGTGGGCTTGTGTTTGTTTGCGATGGTGTTTTACTGGTCTTCGTTGAGATTGGATGGACGATTACAGGGCTATTGGCGAAGACGAGTTCTTTGATTGTGAAGTAGCCGCGCATAGCAACGGCGGATGCCGGACACAAAACGCTCGAGCCGCAACGCCTCCTAATGTGATGGTGTCTCGTCCGTCGCATGGATGCTACATGGTTACGGTTCTGCTGGTGTCCTGCAAAAGCTGGCAGACGCATGCTCATTCACCTGACAAGGTGGTCTCAGTGGACCCCCTGCACCCGTACTTGCGACGGTTTACAGCGCCGCAACAGGCCAACATGGCAGAGCACTAGGCACTAGGATGCAAATCACGCGCCGGGCTGTCACAGGCGTGTCGACAGATTTGGCCGCGGCAAGGGCAAATGGTGCGTTGGAAACCTGAAAGAAACAAGGCCAGAAGTCGCAATCTTTGGCACTCAGCATTCCAAAGCCTGGGCCTAGTGCTGCAGGACTTGCAATCCTGTTGTTGGAGATGCCTCGCCAGCAGGGTGCTCCACAGGTCCCATTGTGCCTCTGCCGAGAAAGTCCACCCGGGACTTGTAAAGGACTGGAGGACTGGTTTTGACTGAGCACTGGTTCCTTTCGTGACTTGAGGCCGATTGTCGATTCTCCATGTGGGCCGCCGGGAGCCTACGCTCGAGCCATGGAACGCCAAAGTTCCCTCAAGAATGGTGGGCTTGTGGCTTGTGGTGCAAATCAGTTCTAGTATGTTACAGTACTTGTAGTATGTTGATTTGTTACGCTGAGGTCTGGTCGGTCTGCAGCGCCACATGCGACGGTGGCATGCACACTCGTTCGAGGACCATCGTGTCAGAAGCTGCAAACGGGGGCCAGGCAGGACGAACATGAACGAACATGAAGTCTCTGAGCTTGCAGTTAGCTGCATGCAGCCTGTGGGTCAGGCTTGCGAAGGTCCGATGACGCAAGTCCGCGAATGCAGTCGCAACGAATGCGTACTGCCCCCTCCCAGAGACTGCAAATTGGGTGACTGGCGTGAATGGGGTGCCTGTGGCAAGTGTAATGGCCAACGCTTCCGCAGCCGGAACATCATACAGTATGCCGAGAATGGTGGGCTGAACTGTGACGATGCGGACACGCAAGACTCCACGTCATGTCCCAGGCAATGCCATGAGCCGTCCTACTGCGTGTGGTCGGACTGGGAAGCTTGGAGCAGATGTTCGGTGAGATGCGGCACCGGCCCCTGCCCCAGCGTATGTGGTGCCGGGGATCCCGGCCCCCTCCTTCTGAAGTGAGGCGGAAAGCGAAGCAGAAGACGATGGTTGGAGGTCACCAGCGACAAGTCACGGGCGCTGGACGTTCTTCCTCCCGTGGAGGACGGAATGTGGAACACTCGTGTAGCCGCTGCTAGCTGTTGTCCCGGGCGATGCTTGCCCAGGACCTGCTGCAGAAGTACTCCAGGCTATATAGTCAAACTCAGGCAAGGATGGGCGACAGTGTGAGAGTCATGGATACTGGCAAAGTGAACAGGATTTGCAAGACTCGCACATATGGGAACTGCTCTCGGCCTTCGCTGCTGGCCAGCTCCTTAGGATTTGCAGTAGGAGCCGTGCTGGCAACTGCTTTCGTTCTCTGATTTTCCATGTGAGGTGGGCCGAAAGGCTTTTAGGGAAGGTACAGCAGTGACGTGCCACTGTAGCTGTTGTAAAGGTGCTCTCTGACACACCAGCTTAGGATGTAGGAATGTGCTAAGGCTGTGTGGCCTTCGTGACATTGCTCGGGCTTGTCATCACGTTTTCTGGCAATTCGTGCCGAGCTTTGCCGCGTGTTGGTGGCGCGCTGGCTTTTGCAGATAGCTTACCAAGGGCTGCCACTGCCTCCCTCTCCCTGTCATCGCGGACGGTCTCACGCAGGCGGACCCGCTGGCAGCAAAGCATGGCATGATACGGCATGGTTAGTATATCTATCTGACACCCGCAGGCTGAACCTCGTGGAGACACATGCGGACCATGTGGAGGCTGAAGGACCGGCAGGGTCAAAGTGAGAGTTGCTTATCAAACGCCTGTGAAACTAGTCACGCCTGCCAAAACATGCAAGACAGAACATCCAAGCAGATAGTGCACAAAGCCGCAGAAGTCCGGACAAAGTGCAGCATCTGGACCTGAGCCGTCTTGATTATTTGCTGGCGGCAAGTTCAGGCTCGCATGTCGAGGTGGGCTGTACAGTGGCGTAGCTTGTCCGAATTGGATGCATCTGCAGGATTATCTGACGACGGTGACTTGGAGGAAAGCCGAACGTGATTTCGTAAAGGGCTGAGCCGTCGAGCTGTGTCGACTCTCTGCATGGGCAGGACGTTGGTGAGGTTGCACTCGAGCTCCCTCTCCGTGTCCATGGAGCCAGGTTCGCTCTGGACCTCTGGGGCTTTCGAGTGCTTTTCATGGTATGCTGTTAGTGAACTTCTTCTCACGGTGTCAGGCCCAGGTGACATTCGACGTGACAGTGTGGATCGGCGCGGCACGAGCTGTGCGGAGGAAGCTTCGCGCGCGCGCGAAGTGCTTGGTGTGCTCTCTCCGTTTCACAGCCCAGCTCAGCGCGAGCCTGGGCCCGGCCCGGGCGCGGCGGGCCGCATCGGGCCTTTCCATCCTCAGCCCTCAGATGCCTGCGCTTTTGCAGGCGCTGTTGGCCAAAGTGCTAGCAGCTTGCACGACAGGCGGTGACATTAATCGACGGCTCAGGACACTATGAGTGCTCAAGGTACTCGAGAATTGCCGGTGGCTGGTAGATTGAATTCTTTCGAAAGTGTGAATTTTCACCAACACGAACCAGTTCATGGAACCTTGCCTGCCAGCCGCTTTGGTGCAACAATGTTCTGAAAGCTGCTGAGAGTGCTTTCTCTAGCGGAAGCTGTTCCCACCTTTTCAAGGTCAAAGCCGGGAACCTCAGCAGTGAATTTTCCGTCTAGAAAGTTTCATATGTCAGTAGTCCCCGCTAGACATCTCCGCCTTTGGTGCTTATGCATCGGGTGGCAAGCAGGTTGTGATTCTTTTGCACTGTTGCTGTTCACGGCAAAGAAGACAACAAGCACAACATGACAACTCGGAAGTCCCGTTGGAGACCGCACAGAGCCAACTCATGCAAACGTTGGCTTCACCGCCTTCCACGACCAGCTTGGCTCGCAATACCTGTGTATTTGATGCATTTGTTCTGGTGGCGTCTTTACCCGGAAGGCCAATCAGTCGACTTGCTGTACACACGATTTACTTTTTGCTTGCGTGTACCGAGTGTGGCGACTGCCAATCGTGAGATGGTTGTGCAGCAAGTGACAGGCAGGCAGCACAGCTTGCGCTGAGACGAGCAAGCCGGAATGGCCTCTTGGCTTCATGTGTCCCGACAAATTGTGCTATGCTGGGTAGTGTTCGCTGATATCCTCTGATGCTCGTGCTTTAGTGCCGACTTTCACGGAGGCCGAGCCGATAAAGCCAGCGCTGGTTCAGAAAGGGGCGGTCAAGGTCTCACAGCAGCGTTGCTTCTGAAGAGCCACGCTCAGACGCTCACATTCGTCTGATTTTATTGTAGCTGCAGGATCCCTCACAAAAGAAGAGGGTTCAGCTACAAGCTCCTCTCAAGCCTGAAGAGGACAGGTCCACGGAGCAATGAGTTGTGACATTCCACGGTCAAGCTGTAACCTGCACCTGCTCTGCCAGGAGGGCGAAATGGACATCCCGCTTATCGTGACAGACATACAATCTCATGTGCAAGAGATAAAAGCGCTATCGAAAGAGATCAAGGAGCCACAGCCGAAGCCACCGAGCGTCACAGCAAGTCACTCGACAGCGACAAGTCCGGAGAACAAGACCCTGCAAGAGCAAGTTGAACAGTGACTCGGCATGCACAGCTGTGTGCAATTGTCAAGGAAGTTGGACTAAAGGCAGGGCAGTTTTGCTCGCACTCCGCTGAGGCTGGAAACTGGCCTTGCGCGGTGCGTGGCTGATTTTCGTGCTCAGGCAGAAGAGGCCTCCCTCAGGGTCGTGTTTGGTTCCGTCGAGAATGTCGCGTGGTCTCACGGATCGGTGTCATGGCAGGTGCTGATGAATCACCTTGATAACCTTGACGAAGTGCAGTTGGCGCATGAGTTCGAGGCCGCAGATGCGATAAGTCCTTTGCCAGTGAAGAGCGAAGCCTGAGTGTGCGAAGGTCGCGAACTTGATGGCAGAAAACATGCTGCTCCGCGAAAAGCTAGGCCTCAAGTCGACGGATCAAGTACGAGATGCGAGAGACTCAGTTTTGCTGCCAGCCAAGTTCTTTGCAATTTCCTCTTCTGTGTTGCTTTTCCGGGGATTCCAAACCAAATCGGTGGGTCAAGGTGATGTTTCAAAATATAGTCCCTGAGCCCAAAAAGAAGCCGCGACGTGGACAGAGGAGCAGCGCTTCATGGAGCTGCATGCCGTCATGTTGGAGCTTAGAGTTTGTCGTGGTCATCGCGCCCCGGCAGGAATCAATTCCAGGACGAAGAAGAATCTGGACCCCAGTCCTTCAAGCAGAAGCAGGATGAGAAGGGATTCCCTCCCCCTCCCGGTTCGTGGCCAAGTGAGGACCAGCGTGACTCCCATTGAGGGAACCATTGCCCTCAGCCGAGGCCATCAGCAGCAAGGCCGGAATCAGAGAAAGGGAGGGAAGAACCAACCGCCCGGTGGGAGCTGGCAAGCGTTCATGGCATGGGTTCCCAATGGAGCGGCTATGCAGAGTCCCGCCTGCATTCTGGACCTGACACCTGACGCCTGACCGCTACTGTAGGGCTGATCCTCCCTGGGGTTCTGCCAAGAGGGTGAGTGCAGTGATGAGAGCGATCTGCAGATAAGATGTTTGACGGAATTCAGCTTCTGGATCTTTCGGATTATTCAGGTTACCAGGATAGTTGCCCTGTACGGCTTGTTACCGGTCGGTGCATCTGGCCGACGTCGTGTTGAAAGATGATGCATGCAGCTCAGGAATGCAGAGCCGTGGAAGCCCCTTCCGCAGCCGGACATTGCGCAAGCACAGACCCCGCAAGCGCAGGGCAAATCCAAGAAAGAGATGCTTGATTGCCCAAGCCAGCATTCTGTTAAAGTCGTGACCGGCTCGTGCGCATGATTCACGTGCTTGGCCTTTGCTCTAGCACCCCGTTTCTTAAGGAAAAAGAATCCGACCGGGTCAGATCAGCTGGCCCTGACCTGAGAATCCGACGCAGCAGCGTAGCAAACGCATAGCTTGGCACATCATAAGAGAGTACAATGAGCCTTGATCTCAACCGAGTCCGTGATCCCTGGCGTGCCCTCGGAAGACAAACGCAAAGATGACGATGATGACTCGGACAGTGACAGTGGAAGAAGCACCTTGACGGCATCGAGCGTTGGCGTGCCTTCTGCCCCCCTTTTCGAGCCGCTCGCGCTTTGAACGCTACCCCCAGTTTTCGGATCCAGATACACTATGCACAGGTAATTTGGCCGGAGAGGAGCAGTATGAGATGCTTGAGGCGAGCCTGCCCATGTGAAGTTGCACAGTGACATCGTCCACTGGCAGGTCTGGAAAGCTTCATCCAAGCAGATGAAGAAGTTCAAGCGTGGTAGCCATGGAGAGACTGAGAGCTCAGTTCCTTTCCGACTCTTTGGCTGCATCTCATGTCTTGCCTTCAGGCTTCATACTTAGAGATCACACATCACACTTCTTTGTCGAAAAAGGTGAGGAAGAGGACGAGTACCAGGAACAACCACCACATGGCTGGATCCTGAACCCAGACTCAAACATACGGATCTCCTGGGATCTTGGAAGCCTGATAATGGTGCTCTATGACATGGTCATGATCCCCATGCAGGCTTACACTTTGCCCGATAACATCTTCCTTGACTTTATGGAGTGGTCCACGAGACTTTTCTGGACCTTTGATATCTTCTTCTCCTGCATCACAGGTGTTGTCATGACAGATGGCTCCGTGGAATACAATTTAAAGATTATCTTAAAACGATATGCAAGAACTTGGCTGACACTTGATCTGATGATCGTGGTTTCCGACTGGGCCGAAGTGATCTTCTCAACTGGGAGTATGGAAATGATAAACTTGGCGCGCAGCACGCGCATCATTCGAATCGTCCGACTGCTTCGGCTTGTCCGTATGCAGGAGATCATGGCTAACGTGACTGAGCGCATACAGTCGGAGACCCTCGGACCAATGATTCAGGTCGGCAAGGTTACAGTCGTGCTGCTGACGATTTCACATTTCACGGCGTGCCTTTGGTTCAGCGTCGGCAATCGCGCTACAACTGAAAACACCTGGGTAAAAATTGAGAACTACGAGACTGCTGGCGTTGATGCTCAGTATTTGGCTTCTCTGCATTGGGCCTTGTCTCAGTTTTCAGGCTTGGAACAGAAGTGTGATCGGCTACGCAGGTGACTGTTTCAGATTCAGCATATGAACCCTGTAGGTGGTATGGATGAGATCACGCCTGCCTCGTCCCTGGAACGGCTCTTCGCAGTGGGCATAGGCAGCTACGAAGCAAGCAGCTGGTAGTGCTTTCTGTGGTGCCGGTAACCCACGCAGCCGAGGAACCATCATCTTCGTCGTCGCTCTCGTGATGATGGGCGTCTTCACCTCCGGCCTCACGCAGCAGTACATCATCGGAGGCAGTGGAGCACGTCAGCTCGCGACGTTGAAGCGGTACCTGAAGCAGAACAACGTTTCAAAAGTCATTACGAAACGAGTGTGCCGAAATGCAAAGCATGCAATCTCGGGGGACTTGACCCCGGAATCTGTAGAATTGCTCCAAGTCATCTCCGAGCCGCTGAAAGTTGAGCTTGCATTCGAGCCTTGGATTCTGTTCAATTTCAATGGCAACGTTGCCTAAGGCTCAGCGGCATGTCCTGCACTCCTGCCAGCCAAGGACATGTACTCTCAGGTCCTCATGTGGCAGCCTTTTTTCCTAGAGCTGCTTTCGGAGAGCTCACCGATCATGAAGCCGATTTGCCACAGAGCACCGACCTTGGTTTTGTTTACCAGCCGCGTACTGGGCCTGTGTGGCGATGAACCGTGTGCAGACCCTGTGCCCTATTCCCTATGCGTCGTTTCTGCGGGCCGCGTCAGGCGATGTCCATGCTGCTCCTCTCCAGTACCGATATCGTCTTCAATTCGGGCGAGGAGCCGGCAGAACCCAAAATGTATATTGTTGTATCAGGTAGCCTGGAGTACACGGACTCCTATGGAGAAGTGGCCCCAGCTGCTTGTCTTGATTGTAGTTGGCTCAGTGTAGCCGATGGACTTACTCGTCGCAACTCATCGATGAAACATTCGTTCCACATCCGTTCGTCACGGCGAAAACGGTTGGGGCGGATGCCGAAAGCAAGGTCGGTGAGAAGCGGTACCTCGCTGAAGCTGTTTTGTGGACACACTGGAAGCACCGTGGAACTTTGACTGCTGTGAGTGATGCCAAGCTGGCAATGCTGCTTGGCATAAACTGTATGGGTTCTCCGTACGTGTCTTTGGCAATGCCACTCTGTTCTGGTCCAAGGCTTGATGCCCAAGGCTTCCGTGACATCTGTCAGCGGTTTATGAGAAGAAGCGAGGCGGCGTTGAGGACCCTTGACTTTTTCAAACACAACGAGTCCTGCGGCCTCTTGTGGATGTCAAACTTTCCGGTTCTTTGTTGTGGAGGGGTGGGAAAGACTGCAAAGGTCCAGAAAAAGGTCGCATGAGGGCATGACATAGCTTAAAGCCTCTTTCTCTGTTCTTAGCAGCACGCCCAAGATAGTGAATTCAGCTACAAAGCAATCCAGACTGCGACATCTGTCATGAGGATCGTTCGATACGCCTCTGACTTCGTAGATGAGCTGAACAAGCAAGAGTTCAAGTCAGATCTGGGTAAGTGATTTGGTCGTCGCCCTCTCGTGTGGCGGGCAAGATCCAGGTGCTTCCAAAGAGCTCAGACAGTTGCCTGTACAGACGGCACATTCTGAGTCGCGAAAATGTGTCTTCGGGCTTGGAACAGCCTGGCCTGAGACGCTCACGTTTTGCTGCCTGAACCACTGGGACCACGATTGCCGACAGCCTGGCAGAAATTGCTTGCTGTGGCAGCCGCGGACTGAGGTGCACACACCAAGTGTGGAGATGTCCACAGTCAGTTGAGGGTTGCAAAGGAGTTGCGGGTCGAATACTCGAAGTGAAAAATATTACCGCAGTATTGTTAAAGTAGTACGTGCGCATGCTGAATGTGCAGTCTCACTTAATTTTTTGGCTGCCCGAATTGATCTTTCGAAAAGATCAGCTTCGCTCTTTGCCACCAGGGCACTGCCCGCCCGGTTCCCTTTGACGGAACACACTGATCGTTCGAAATTCTTCCAGCAGTGCTTCACGAAAGGCACCGGTGCATTATGTGGCTGCAGCTATTGCCTTGAGCCGACATTTATGGAATGAGAACTGTTTCGTGATCGCGAGTATAAACAGGCCAGCCAGCAGCAGATTTGACTGGTACTGCGAGTGCAACTTGGTGCTCCTCAGGCTTCTCATCTCCTGCTTGCGCCACAGCTGTCAAGTGGTTCAGGTACAATGAATTCGACATGCGTGCATGCCTTCGGCCTCGACTGCAAGCAGCGCTGCTTGCAACTTTCTAGATGGGCCCATCAAAGCAGATGCTAGAGTGGCCGCCGGAAGATCAAGATGAGACAGACCGCATTCAACTGCTGGGTCAGCTGGCATTCGATCTGACGGCCCGCCTCTTAGTACAGCATGAGCAGAAGCAGGGGCAGCAGTGGTGCCGGAGTCTTCGCATCTGAGGGTGCAATTGGTCGGGATGGATGGTGTTGCATTCACATGAACGATGATGCCTTGGTGCGGGATGCCGCCGTCTCCGAAGCCAGGTCACTTTCCAACTTCGTACCTCGGACAGGGCAGTTTCAGGTCGGTTATCTCAGTGCTGGGGCTCTGAGGGGTTTCTCGCGAGCGAATCTTGTGGTCCGTTCCCATTCCGCTCCCTAGGCCTGGCAGAGTCCGTATTGCTGTATAGGCATCTGATGAGCTGCTTTGGGGCGTGTGTGCGCATCGTTTGTCCCGACTCTGTGACACACTTAGGCAAGTCCACGTGCCGAGTTGATGCCGGACTATTTTGGACAGGATGGCACTGGCAAAATGGCGACCTTCCAAGACTCTGCCAGGAATAGTGCCTTGCCTGCAGGTGCTGGCGGGGAGTGGCATGCCTTCGAAACTCACTGACATGACAGCACAAGCAAGGTGATGCTGCCTGGGCATTGTCAGAATTAGATGCCGAGCTGACGGCTTTGTGCAAAGTCCTGGCACCGCTGTCGACTCAAGCGCTGGGCTTTACCTGCGCCGGGCGGCGAAAAGGCATGGTTTGGATGCCATTTGCAGACTCTGAGGAGTCCAACAGGCTCCGCCCGCAGCCTCTGACTGAGGAGGACATGACTCGAAACGGTCGATCAAGTTCGGTCGTTCCGCTTCTACGTGAATCCAGGGCACACTTGTTGGATTTTGTTGGTGTGGCTCTTTCTTCGAGCTAGGCGATGAGTCGGGAACTAAAGTACGCACGATGCCGACAAAAACATAAGAGACTCTGCATCTGAAGCAAAGGGCACCGACGATGCAGACGGCATTTGGGAAAAACGTGGTGTTGAAACAGCCTTCGCAATGGTACAGAGTTCGAAGGTTCCATTTTGAAGCCGTGAGATGTTCAGACACATACTTATCGCTTTACTGTACAACCACGTGACGTGGTGCCGAGGCCGCAATACGCTTGGCCCAGGCACAAGATCACCTCGTAAGGCTGAGGTTGAGCTGACACTCTTTGTTGGTTGGCTTTTAAAGAACACTTCCCGTGCCTGCCACCTTGTCAGAGGCGCGTAGCAAGATCACGCCTGTGAGATTGAATCGCTGGGTCAGTCGAAGTTGCTGTGAGTAGTTTTGCCATGTGAATCCTTAAGGGTCCGAGGGTTTGCAGTGACGAAAGAAGCCAGGCCCCGGCACATTCTTGAACTTTCCTCTTCTTTGTCGCCGGAAACCAAAACCGAACGTTTTCACTAATCGTGCTTGAAGCCGCGAGATTTGCAGCTTCCCTTTTGAAGCAGTGGACAAGCTCCATCATTTCCGAAGGCATGCGAATCTTTACAACTTGCTCTGAGATGTTGGTAACGATTCTACTCAAGGTTGAGGTTGTGTCAGATTTTTGTCCAAGACCTGCCTGTTCAGTGTTGTGTGGTTGATTGTCGTGGATGTCTGTTGACTGGAGTGCGGACAGGATGCGGATGCAGGTGTCCTGGACAATCATCTACAATTTATCCAGAGAAGAAGGTTGTGCTTCATGCGCTGGATTTCAAACGATGGCGGTGTTTTGGAGCTCCTGCCACGACCAGATCAAAGCGCATATAAGGCAATGACACTTCCGATAGTGCAAAATCGGCTGCTGGTGTTTCGGAGCGATTTGTTCAGCTTCTCTTACAAGCCAACTGGAAAGGATTCCCTGGCGCTACTGACATGGATTCTTGACACCGGGTCACAGGCTGAGCGACAAACTGCAAAAGGTTTCTTCGGCGTGGATGATGCGCTGCAACACTCTGAAGCTCTCGGGATATTCGTGGGACCTCCAATGCCCACAGGTTATAGAATGCATATCATGGCCATGCATGCCCACGTGCCTGGCGGAGCGCAAGACTTGGACGGTTTTGAGTGTATGCTGACATCTGGCGTTGACGGTTTCATTCACATTCCGGCCACAAGGTTTGACACTGAGATTTATTGCTGTCCAGAAGGCGAGAAGCTGCCTGGCCAAAGCTATGTGAGGCATGCGGCCATGATGTCCGACCAGGAGCGGGGCAAAGTGCAGGAATGCTATTCCAAAGGTTTTCTTTCAGTGTAGGGGCGGGCTTCTCGGGAATGGCAGATGTGCGGAATGCCCGTCAAGGAGATCACCTGCTTTGACAACAATTTCTTCGGAATTCGAGAAGATGAAGTCAAAATGATGGCGCCGAACCAGCGGCTCATATTGGAGGATGGTTATGCGTGTCTGCGGAAGCCCAGCCTGCAAGTGGCGGAAATCCGCCAGGATAGCCGAGTAGCTCTGCATCTTGTCTGCGTCTTCTTCGTCATAATCTGGACTTAGGAAAGCTGGATTTGATCGCAAATCCCTTGTGGGTCGCAGTACGGCGGCCTTCCTGGGTGATACTGGCTGCGATTGGGATCCGTTTTGGCAGATCAAGGTTCTTGAGAATCCTCTGAATCCTGGCCGTTCGGTTCCGTGGGGAAACTGCGAGGGCAATCACCTGACCTACGGCCGAAGCCTTACTTAGTCTTAGCTGTGGCACTGCAGTCTTCATCATGAAGAATTGGCTCAAAGAGCGCGAGACGGAGAGCAGCGGAAGCAGATGGAAGCAGGACCAATCTGCTGCAGCGCGGTTCCTGGCGGAAAGGTTGGCAAAGCGCGCTTTATGTGATTTCGCGATTGCACGCACGCTACTTCGATTTCCGAGCAAGTTGCTGCGGGGGCAAGGTCATGAGTATTTGGAGCTTGCGCACTTCTTCACGCTCTGACAGATGTCGCGCAATTTGGTGCTGCTTTTGTTTCGAGGTGGCAAGCAGGTACATTTACGGCACGGAAACCCAGCGTCTCAGTGAGACGGCTGCAATGCTACATGTCCAGGTCACGCATGCACAAGCAAGGGTGTGGTCAGACTCTGCTCCAGAAAGAAAGACAAGCACACAGCAAAATATGCTACTTGGCACTTGCCTTCACCTAGGTCACGAAGGGAGAAAGAATCGCATCGCTTCCTACGCTTCTGCTCGTCTGTCTCTGTACCTCTCTTTGCCTTTTTTTGTTCGCTAACCAGTTGCCTGCTTTCTTCCCCGAGACGGAAAATTTGCCTGTGTTTGTTGCAAGAGAACTTGCAGCTATCTTTCAGTTCCTGAGCCTGCAATTTGCACGCACACACGGGTTTTACGCAAAGCAGATCGGGAAATACCGAACTAACGAGGTCCAAATTTGAACTGAAGGCCAGGCGATGCCACGGCCCAGGTTGCGTGAGTGGTTGCAGTGCCGAGACCTGACCGTCTATCTCTCAGTGTGGGCCTTAGAATAGGCTACCCTCTTCCCGACATGTCTAACACACTTTGCACGGTGGGTGGAGGGCAGGGACAAGGCATTTTCACGAAAGCTCCCCCTCAGCTGGGAGCTTCGTTCAATAGCTGACAACGTGAGACTCGGACACGAGGGGGGCGCAAGGGTCCTTCCAATGCTGGCCCCAGGGGTGCTCTGCTTCAATGCCCTTTGCACTTCTTGACGTGTGGATTCTTGTGAGTCGGCCGGACTTTGATTGGATCGTCTTGCCGTTGAGCCTAATTTCATTCGTGAGCCTTTGTGCCTTTGCACATGCATACCTATAGTTCGATGTCAGTATGTGCGTATGTAGGTATGTATGTATGTATGCCTGCATGTAGGTGTGTATGTCTGGTACACACATGCATGTCCGTATGTATTTATTGGCGTCTATTCGTCTGCCTGTCTGTCTATCTGTTTGTTTGTTTCCCAGTCGTCTTTCCGCAGCCCGGTCCCTGTAGAGCTTTCGTCCGAGCCCGCGGCTCTCATGACTCAAGTCGTTGTCAGGAAGGCATTCGAGGCGGCACTCGAGTCTGGAAAGGAAGACAGAGGATTGCCCAACCAGTGCGACAAGGATCTGTCACTATGGGATCCTTACGTGAGTCCAGGGGCTAGGGGTTCGATCGCAGTCCTCGCCCGGGAGCGCTGCGGCAGAAGAGAACTCTCAGTCGCAGCGGCGCGGCTGGGTCTCCCGCCGTTCGGGTTTTGGGCTTTTCAAAGTTGCCAATGGTGCTGCTGCCGACTGTGCTCCTTCCGAAGTTCCGTTCTTTTCCGCCTCTGGATGTCATGCTCCTATCAGTCTTGTCCCGGAATGCATTTTGAACTATGTGCTCCTGGAATGGTCCTGGCGGTATGAAGAGCGCGGAGTGTTGCTGTACGTGCTTTGTCACTACACTGTGCAAAGTTTGCGGCCTTATGCCAGCTCTATCACTTTATCGTTTGTCTTTGTTCCGACCAAGGTGGAGTTTCCAAGGCAGTGTCTGCAGGAAGGCTGTCGCACATTTTTGGATTGCGCGGCGGCTCCACAAATATCGACACAGCTTGTTCTGCCTCACTGGTCGGCGTCTCCACCGCAGTGCAGGCTATGAGAAGGGCCGGCGGTGGGCAGGTCAAGGCGGTCGCAGACAAGCACAACTTGGATGCTTTGTGCATGGGCATCAACATGCTCACCAGCCCTTGGGCATTCGTCGGTCTTTGTGGCCCATCCATGCTAGCGGCGAAGGGCAGGTGCTTCACCTTCGATGTCAGTGCGGAGGGCTATGCAAGAGGAGACGGATTCGGAGCTGTCTACATCAAGCCGAGCGACAATGATGAGGACTACCTCAAGCAGCGACTCGAGCCAACAACCCAGTAAGCCCCACCCAATAGTTCCTGTATGGGGCTCGTGGGTGCGATCCGCATCTCATGATTTCTTCAGGGTAAGTGGATGAGGATGCCTGCTTCGGTGAGTGGTTCGGTGCAGGTTTTCGCTTCATCTGTGGTTTTTTCTGTTAGCGAAAAACTGAGCTGACAAGAAGGTTGCTCTTCGCAGAGCCTTCA